TAACACCTTTACTTTTTCTCGCCTCTTTGCAATGTTAGAATGGAAATTCCTTGTGCAGAAGATGTGTTACGCCGGTCAGGATACATCGGCGCTGGATAATGCTCGTGGGCAGGGCTAGCATTTGCCGCTAGGGAGCAGGGCTAGCAGATTGCCGCTAGGAGGAAGAGAAGCCGTACTAGAGCTGGTTATGAAGAAACGGGATCGTACTGATGAGCCCTAGTTATTGAAAAGAATATAAACCAAGAGGAAAACAGACGAAAACAAAAAAAAAATAACGAAATCAATCGAGAATGATAGATAAGAGATGAAACTTCTTAGGGCTAAGTGGAAGGGCGTAGTTCGGCGAGGGAGGGGCATTCTGCATCTGGTTCGGTGAAACCTCTGTTGTGAATCTGGAGCAAGCTCGTCTAGCTACCATGGTAGACGCTACCATGGTACCTGTCAACTACTGTGAGCTCACGAAATTGCTCTCTAGACGGGACGACACGTCGCCGGAAAGTAACAAAAATGCCCTCTCCACGCCGAACTGCCGGAAGTAATCATTTGGAACATCCAGAAGTACGCCAGCCAAAATAACAAAGTAAAGTCTGTTTTTGTCTGATGGTGAAGTCAGTTTCAAAACGAACCATCTGTTTTTTGTTTTTGCAGTTTTTCAACTCCTATTTCCTCTTTTCTAATTAAAAAGACTCCAAATCGAATAGTGCCTTCTCCATGACATCCGCTCAACACAACATTTCAAAAAGGCAACTGACAAAACCCTTACCGGTTTGATATCTCTGTGAAGAAATCCTATCGAGTGTATTTCCCTAATTGCGTTCAGAATTTGTACACCCAGACGAATGGCGGTGCTCAGGCTGAAGCACTGTTTTGGCGCCTGAAACATGAAAATTTTCTAGTATCTCGAGACGGGCCACTCGACCGCAGTTGTGCTGCCACGACCAGGGCACATCATTGGTTGGGGATTGTTGGTCGAGTCCTACTACCCCCCCTCCCTCCTTTTAGGGGTCGTTACGACCCCCCT